GGGAATCCAGGACAAATAACCCCTCAGGACCAATAATGAGAGTAGTGATGCCAGGAGGGTCAGGGGAGGGTGGGGGAGAAAGGGGGAACCAATCACAATGATCTACATATAACCCCCTCCCTGGGGGACAGACAACAGAAAAGTGGGTACAGGGAGACCAGACAGTGTAAGACATGAAAAAATAATAATTTATAAATTATCAAGACTTGGTGAGGGAGAGAGGGAAGGAGTGTGGGAAAGGGAGGGGAAAATGAGCTGATACCAAGGGTTCAAGTGGAAAGAGATGTTTTGAGAACGATAAGGGCAACAAATGTACAAGTGTGCTTGACACAATTGATGTATGTATGGCGTGATCAGAGTTGTATGGCCCACCAATAAAATGATTAAAAAAACAAGATTAGCTGTCTGTTGATAGATGAATTTATTTGTAGGTTCGCAATTGAGTTCCATTGGTCTGTGTGTGGTATCGGTTCCAGGCTGTTTTAACTACTGTGACTGTGTAGTAGGTTGTTGAGATCAGGAATGATATGCCTCGTAATTTGTTCTTTTTCAGTTATGCTTTGCTTTCCATATGAAATTGGTGATTAATTTTTTCATCTTTTTATAGAATGATGGCAGAATCTGGATCACGATTACATTATATCTGTAGATCACTTTGGGTAGTATTGGCATTTTCACTAGGTTATATCTTCCTATCCAAGAACATGTTAGTTATATTCTTCCATTTACAAAGATCTCTCTTAGTTTTTTTTGTAATTGTGTTTGGTAGCTTTCTTTGGTACCAGCTTTATTTCTCTTGTTATATTTATTTCTAAGCAGTAAATCTTTGAGGTGATGATTGTCGAAGGCATTGTTTTCAGAACTATCTTTGTTAGCATAGAGGAATCCAACTGATTTTTGTTGTTGATCTTGTATCCCGCCACTTTGCTGTATCTTTCTATGAATTTCCACAATTTTATTGTCCAGTCTTTGGGATTTTCTACCTGTGGTAATGTCATATGCAAATAGAGGTCTACTTTGTTGCCAATTTTGATGGCTTTGCCTGTCCTTTCTTACCTGATACCTCTGGCTGAGACTTCCGGTACAATATTAAACGGGAGGGATGGCAAAGAACTTTCTTGTCTGCTACCAGTGCACAGGGAAATGCTTTCAGTTTCTCTCTATTGAGAGTGGTGTTGGCCATTACCTTTGTAGATATGCCCTTCATTAAGTCTTGAAATTTCCCTTCTGTCCCTATTTTGTTGAGCGTCTTGATCTTGCGGTTCTCTATTTTATATTTGTGAGGTAGATTACAGTGATCATTTTTCTAATGTTGGACCATGTTTGCACACCTGGTAGAAATCTAACTTTGAATATATTGTTTGAGCCTTTTAGCTAGAATCTGTGTTGAGGATTTTTGCCTCTGTGAGGGATACTGTGTCTTTGCCTGGTTTTGGCATCAACGGTATACCTGCTTCATGAAACGCAGTCAGGAGCTTTCCCTTCTTTCCAATATTTTGGAATACTTTGAGTAGGGTTGGTGTCAGCTGTTGATAGAATTCATCAGGGAAACTGCCTGCGCCCGGCCTTTTTCTTTGGGCGTTCTTCAAGGGTCTGATCAGTTTCTGTTTCTGCTGTGGGACTAGTCAGATTTTCTACTGCAGTTCATGTTAGTTTAGATAGACTTAAGTGTCTCTAGAAATTTGTTCATTTTTCTTACATTATCAAATTTGTTGTCGTCTAGTTCATGTTATTGTGATGTTCTGTTGTGATGCCACCCATTTAATTTCTTATTGGTGCGATCTATGGGCATCTTCTTATCTCCCTTTGTTAGCTATGGCAGTGTTTGTTGATTTTATTAACCAACTTCTTGTTGTCTTGTTGTTGGTTTCACTTATTTTTGTGCTCACCTCTATCAGGTCTTTTCTTCTGGTGACCCCGAGCTTCATTTGCTGCTTTCTCCCCTCGCTGTTGAAAGTGTTATGTTGAGCTGTTGATTGTGGTTCTTTCTACTTTTTCGATGTTTGTGTTTCTTGCTATAAATTGCCTACTGAGCACTGCGTTTGCGGTGTCACAGAGGTTTGGGTGTGTTATTTTCAATCTCATTTGACTCAACTAATTTTTAAATGTCATTTTTAATTTCTCCTATTACCCAGCAAGCATACAGTTGTATTGGGTTTCTTTCTTTCTTTCTTTCTTTCTTTCTTTTTTTTTCAACTCAGGCTTGAGACTGAAATTTTTCTAAATGAGAAGAATTGTTCTCAATCACTCAGCACTTAATAGCTTTGGAAAATAGCTTTTGCAGCAGACTTGATAATGGTTTCTAATGAATTCAACCTGCAGTACAAGGCAAAACAAGGTCGTATGTAAAACTCATACTGCAGCAAAGCCATTTTCAGTGACAAATAATGTTACTTGAATCACAAATAATGTCAAGCTGATGTATACAGCTTCCTGTGCTGTCAAAAGTTAAAGACGTGAAATCTCTTTTCCCACCCAGGCTTGCAGTGAGCCTCCTGAGCTCAAAACACAGGCGCGGCAGGCATTTCTATGCAAGTTCAAAGGCAATTTCCGTATGGCAAAGCCCATCGACCTGTTCAGCTGAGGCACGATCATCTAGCTTCAAGCTGATTAATTCAATGTGCTTCAAGGCAAAGACCAAGAGAAGAGTAAATTCTTCCAGTGCCTCTTAAGCAGCGAGCGTGTCGAATTGAGATCATTGAATTGGGTACTGATACTTGGCAGTCCCCGTTTGGTGGGAAGTAGCAGTTAAAGATGAAATACATACAATGTCATTATAGATCAGCTCGGATGGGTGAAGGCTTGCGTTCCATTTGGATGCTAGTAAGTACTAACTGGACCCCCACGGAGTGCAATGTTATCCCTTACAGCGCCTCCCCCCTTCTCATTAGCTGACCTGTCACTGTGAAAACACGGTGCCCACGTGTCACTATTGTTACAGCATTTTGAATTTCATCGCTGAACGGTCGAGATTGTTTGGCCTTAATGTATTATAAGTACCTGCATAATTTTCCTGTTGGCTCTGGAAATCTAAAGTATTTACTGACTAATTCTGGACAGAAAAAGTTAGCTGCTTCTTGCTCAGTGGTCCGTGGAGGCAGGTTGATTCTGCAGAGCTGGGTACCTGCCCACGTTCACGGCATTAGTGGTTTCTGCCTCACGCTGACGTGTGGAGCAGCTAACGCTCTCCCGTAGGACTTGGCCGTCACAGCTTATCCCGTGTGCGTGTGTGCACTGGGCTCTCGTTGTGTGTTAACGTGCTCATTGGAGAAGAGTCTTTCAGAGCCGGCCTGTGTTCTGTACATAGATGCTCAGAGCACCACAATGACCTGCTTTATCAAAGTCTCCTGCTGGTTGTGGTGTTTCTCACAGGGTTAAGGCAACGTAGATGCTGCCTTCAAGGAGAAAGGGCTGAGATGATGCTGAAACGAGGGAAAGGAAGAATTGTGCTTCCTCGAAGCAACCGGGGTCGTGTGAAGGCCTAGAAATGTTGCTGCGGCGGTCAGCAGGTGCTGTTGAGTGGGCCCCAGCTCCTCAGGGCCCGTCCGTGTCCAACACTGTCCACCATTCCTGTGATGTTGGAGCCCATTGCTGCAGCCCCGTGCCCCTCCTCTCGTGGTGAATCCGCGTTCCCCCTGCCCCTCCATTGTACCAAGCACGCCGTCCTTTTCCAGGGCTGGCCTCTCCTGACACCATGTCCAAAGGACATGAGACTAAGGCTCGCCAGCCTCTCTTCCAAGGAGCATTCTGGCTGTCCCTCGTCCAAGGCAGATTCGACTTGTTCGTTCCTCTGGCAGTGCACGGTCCACTCTCTCCGTAGTCATTGCCAGCACCAGCTTCCGCCCAGAACGAGGTCTGGCTGATGTTGAGAAGGCCGCTCTGAGGCTCTGGAAGGTGGGAAAGAAATTCCGAGGGAGAGAAGAGTCCAGCGCCCACACCAACACCTGGCGAAGGCTGGCAGGAAGCGTGGCCGTCGTAGCTCGATCTTCCCCGCCAGGCCTCCTTGGCAGATCCAGAAACAGGAGCTGGGCAGTTTGAGCTGGTTTGGGGAAAGTCTCTGTGCAGAGGAGCTTTGGCTCAGGCTCGGAGACTTCTGGAAGGCCCGAAAGAAGAGCCATCCGAATGCCTGGGCTGCAGAGCTGTGGGGAGAAAGGGTGACTCAGAGGGCGTTCTGTGGAGCCAGGTTCTCTACAGGCAGAATGTCTGAAGTGGACAGGCGGCAAGGTGAAGCGCCGAAGGGGCTCAGGGCGTTCAGCTCATGAGGGTGTGGCTGTGATTCCTGGGGTGAGGACTCTTCACCCTGTCCACACGGCATGCACTGTTCTCCACGGTGCCTTTGAAGGGTGCCTCAGTGGGACCATGTCTCTGGGCGCCAAACAGGGTTCGTAGGACCTCGTCTCTACTGCTTTTACTGGGCCCCATGGGAAAGAGAGGGTGATTTTTAATCATTTATTTTGAAACTCCGTTTTCCCAAGTGAATGTAATGTCAAGCAGGGGTGCCCTGACTGGGACTGTCCCATGGACATACCTGCAACCCAAGCCATTAGCTTGCTCCCCGCCATCTTCCCGAGTGCCCTCTGTCTACCCCTGTGTCCCTCCAGCGCCGGAAGCCTCGCTCAGTTTCACTGACGCTTCTGGACAGCCCTGGAGAACGGAGGACAGCCTTTTGACTTTCAGGGTGTTCAGCGCGGTGAGGAGTAGCCCCTTTGAGGTCTGTGTCGAAACTCACGAAGTTCCATCCTCCTGTTTGATGTGCAGGTCTCTGCGAGGATGAACCTGGCCGAGGTCTGCGACAACGCCAAGAAGGGCAGAGAGTACGCGCTTCTCGGGAACTATGACTCCTCCATGGTCTACTACCAGGGGGTCATCCAGCAGATCCACCGGCATTGCCAGTCCGTCCGAGACCCCTCTGTCAAAGGCAGGTGGCAGCAGGTAAGAGCAGACAGGTGCCTCGTCCGTCCCTCAGGACCAGGACTCGAGAGGCCAGCACCGGGAGAGTTCACTTGAGATTCAGAAACAGATGGTATCTCTCCTAACACCCACAGCTGTGGAGTTAGTTCCGACTCGCAGTGACCCCGAAGGTCACAGTCGAACTGCTCCCTAGGGTTTCTGAGGCTGTACATCTTTACGGAAGTGCAGACAGTCTCACCTCTCCCCCACCAAGTGGCTGGTGGCTTTGAAGCTCTTGACCCTGAGCTTAGCCACCCAGCACTGTGCCACCCAGGATCCTTATTTACCTGGAAACTGAGCTGTCTTGAATGGTACCCAGTGTACCAGTTTCCTGGTGACTGCCCTGGTTAATTTGTTGGGGAGTTTGCTGCTCTGTTTAATGACGCACACTTTGAAGGCACTCAATTCTCACGGAATTCTATTTTAAATCCCGTAAATTTTTTTTCCACAACCGCCGATTTCGGCTGCTTCTCCCTGCTCTTCTTTTTCACGTGTGGTTTGGGCGCACTTTGAAGACATTTTCCCGTAAGACATGGCCCTCGTCCGTTGAAAGCCTCCTCACCAATACTAATGAGCCAGTGATTTAATAATGAGCGCTAATATATTTGCCGTGCCTCTTGACAATAGCAAAGTTAGGAAAAACTGGAATTACAGTTTCCTCATTTGTCCTAAAATCTTTTTTAAAACTCCAAGTTCAAAGTCGACAGAGTGTCTTTGAAGTTTCCATTGTACATATTACTGTCTTTCAAGTTTTTCTTCAGATTTCCCCGCCCCCTCCACGAGTCCAAAGCTGATGTTTTAATGAGTTTTAAGGGTAAATTGGACTTATTTCCCAACTTAAGTGTGACCAAACTGTCTCTCATCCTTCCTGCTTCCCACAGAGGCAGTGGCTGGTTAACCAGAAAATCTCTCAGTTGTTTGCATCAGCTGGTGTTACTAGTGAGACTCCCTTCAGTGCCTCTTTCCATGAGGCTCTGACGGTTCATTTCTCCCACTGTGGTGTGTGATAAGGAGCCTGGGGGCAGAGGTGCAGTGCACGAAGCATAGGAGTGCTGACTGGTCAGCAGTTCAAACCCACCAGCCCCTCTGTGAGCAAGAGATGAGGCTGACTGTCTACGAAGGATTATAGGCTTGGAAACCCTATGGGGCAACCCTGCTCGGCCCTGCAAGGTTGCTCTGAGTCCAGCAGACTTGATGGCAGTGGGTTAAGGTTTTATAGAGTGTGCTATATCATTGCATATATTAATGGTTGACTTTTGTGGTGGTTTCCTGTTCTCATTCCTCCAAACCCTTTATATCTTCATTTTTTTAGGGCATCCTTCAAGGCAAAGGAACAGGGAAATGCATTCTGGCTTAAAAAAAAATTGAATTGTCAAAATGAAGTTGTCAATGTGATTTCCCTTCTTTGGGGTGCTTCCCCTGGTTACCCGTCGGGCTGCGATCCTCAAGGCCCTAAGTTCGAAAGCACCGGCAGAGCAGTTAGTCTCGGAAACTCACAGGGAGGGAGCCGCGCTGCCCGGCCGCAGAGGGTCTCCGTGAGTCAGACCGACTCTGAGCTTGCGTTGGTTTGTTGTTGTTGTTGTGTGTGCAAATTACTCTGGGCCCGGGTCTGAAAACAGAAGAACCAGAGTTCTTGTTGAGAGCTGGGAAGCTGCTTGCGTTTGAGCTTGGCATGGACTTGGCCCAGGCCTCGGAAGAAAGCAGGCTTTAGGTGACGGCGAATTGAGATCTGAGGGCGGGAGGCTCAGCCGAGCTTGCTGTTCAGTGGTGGGGTGATGGCACCTGCGACCGGCAGTTGTCTTCGTTGTCTTCTCTCCAACAAGCGTTTCGTGTACAGATGAACACTCAGAGACCCGGAGCGGAGGAAACTCCTTCTTGAGAATTACACACAAGCGGCGACTATCCTGGGGCAACCGGAATGGCTTGCTCCCTTGAGCAAGAAAAGATCTTTCTTGCGTTTTCCCTGCGGGGGGCGGGGTTAGAATTTTTTTTTTGACCGGCAGTTTTTTGGGCGCTCATTACAAAGCTACATGAAAAGGATTTAAGAGAAATGGTTTCTGGGCGTTTGTGAATTTGTGGTTGACTTCATTGCATGCTTTACTTAAACGGTGTGAGCGTCCATCCCCCTGGCCTTTGGTTGAAGCAGGGCCGGATGAGGAAGAGACACCACCGTCTCTCCTCCGGAAGAAGTCTAACTCTTGGCCAGTCTTTACACCAGTCTCCTCTCCTAGCCCCTGCCATCAGCTCAGTTCTGAGTCAGTGACCCACTTCCTGTCGTACTTTCAGGGGTTGACCTCTTTATTATTTTTTTGAAAAACTCTTTGAGGGATTCCTTTTGTTGACTCTGAGCGACATCAACAAAACCGCGCCTCCTGGCAGAAATTGGTTGCTTGCCATTTATATCCGGGTGTAAACGGTTTCTAACACGAAGACTTTGTCTCTCAAGGTTCGGCAGGAGTTGTTAGAAGAATATGAGCAAGTCAGAAGCATTGTCAGCACTTTAGAAAGTTTCAAAATCGACAAGCCCCCGGAGTTCCCTGTGTCCTATCAAGATGAACCATTTAGAGACCCCACAGTGTGGCCACCCCCTGTCCCTGCAGAGCACAGGTGAGTGGAGTGGGTGGGGTCTCTGGGGGAGCTTGTACTTGACAAAGAGCGGAAGTTAATCTCCTGTCATGTAGCTTGCTTTCAGATTGCTTTATTACTCTAATTATAACCAGAAATTTAATGCTTGTCCGAAAATTTATTCATTGAGAGAGTATTTTCCCCCCCTAGGCTTTATAAGGACAGCATTGATATTGGGATAGGTTTGTTTTAAAGGACTCGCTACTTCTAACTCTTTCAAGACTGAATTATTTTCTGCTTTGAATTTCTTGTTGCAACCGTGGCATTTTAATAATGGAAGGCATTTGGAATGAAATGAAAACAAAATAGTAATTTCGATACAGTTCGTGGGACACAGCTGTCCCAAGGGGTGTCTGGTGCTGGGATTGGTGGGATGAGGCCCATTTCTTCAGATTCTTGCAGTTCCACAACCTGCACTGGATGACAGGATGCACGAAAAGTCAGCATCCCCCTGCTAAATCCTGTAGGTGGAAACGTAGGTGGGTGCACTCTGCCCCACAGGCCATGAAGGAGTCAAACGGCATGTGGCCATGTGGATTCATCTGGTTAGGCCTGGCTTTCTCATCATTTGCTTGTGGTTCATTGCGACCCTGTAGGACATGGAAGAACTGTCCCTGTGGGTTTCTGAGACTGTAGTTCTTTATGGGAGTAGAAAGCCTAGTCTTTCTCCTGTGGAGCAGGCTGGTGGTTTCGAACTGCTGACCTTGCTGTTAGCAACCCAACACTATACCACTACGCCGCCATAGGAAGGCAGTTTCCCTCTGGTCAGCAGTGGTAACTCTCCTGTTTAGCTTATTGATCTCAGGATGTTTTATAAAAAGCATTAGAGAACTGTGAAAACGATTCATCTGCATTGTCAAGAACCTCCCCCCCCTTACTGGTTCCCTGGTGGCACAATGGGTTAAGTGCTGGGCTGCTGATATAAAGGTCAGTTGTTTGAACCTCCCACTGGGTTGGGGAGAAAGACGTGCTGTCTGCTTCTGGGAAGAAGGTGGAAATCTTGGGAACCCACGGGGCAGTCTGCTCTTCACCTATGGGGGTCACTGTGTTTAATGGCAGGGTTCTCTAGAGAAACAAAACCAGGACACTTAGGAATATATATATGGCTAGGTCGACCCAGCAGGAAGGATTATAACAGCTCATTAGTCCACACAGCAGTGTAGGGGCCTCAGTTCAACTCACTTTTGTGGAACAGTTAATACACTGGAAGTCCTTCAACTTTGATGGGCTGCTGCTGGGTCCAAGGTCAAGGAAGCAGACAGCAGAGTCTTCCCCAGGAAGGCAGGCAGAGTCTGCTGGAAGGGAGCAGACGGCAGGGTGGGTCACACCAGTCAGCAGCCTGGGAGCTCAGGGAAGCAGGCCCTGATCTGCTGGGACCTAGAGCTGAAGCGCGGCCACAGGACGCACCGGCCTCAAGCCCAAGCAGTGTGCACACCAGCAGTGTGGAGAAGCTGCCTCAGGCTCTGGCAACACGGTCCACAGGTTGGCTTGGCCCACAGGTAGTGCAGCACACAGGTTGAGGCAGAGAACTAGCTAAAGCAGCAGCACGCTGGTCCCATCACCAGAGAGCAGGAGAGAGGTGGGATACGAGCTGTCTTTATTGATTTCGGACATTCTCCAATCAAGCTGCGACCTGATTAAACTCCGCCCACATGTCCCTGTTAGCCCAGTTGGCACAGTAAACCTATCACTGCACTGGAATTGTCTCGAAGGAAGTTTGCTTGGCAGGTATTATAAACGCACTGTCCCACGGCTGGTGGTTTGGAACTGCTGACCTTGCTGTCAGCAGCTCAGCACTCAGCCACTGTGCCACCAGGGCTCCTTACGAAAGCACTAGGTGACAGTTACAGGTCTTCTCAGGTCTACAGCACTGTAGTGTTTTCCTCACACGGAACCACTCTCAGGTGTTGCAGGTTGTCGGACCAAACCCACTACTTCCGAGCCAGTTCTGACGCCTGGCGGTTCTGCCGGGGGTTTGTTTCCAAGGCTGTGAGTCGCCAGCTTTACGTCCAGCAGTTCATGCACATTTTACATTTTGTTTCAGCTCCTCTTTGCCCCCTCTCGATCGGCCGTTGCTCACCAGCTTCCGCCCCAGGTTTCCGTTTCCTCCCTCCTTCTCTCCAGACCCTCTGAGCTAGTCCCTGGGCAAAGAGGCCAACGTTGATGGTTCTCCCAAAGGAGCGCATTCAGTGCTGCACCTGAAGAGTGACTAACAGCCATCGTCTCGGGGGCGGCAGGGGTGGGGTGGTGTTGGGGGGTGTCACACTTGTCTCTTTCTGACCAGTAAGCCTTGGCCTCTTTTGTGACGTTGAGTTTTGGGACTATAACTCAATTACAGGAGCAGACAGCCTCCTCTTTTCTCCCTCGAGTGGCCGGAAACCTCTAGGGCAGTGTTTCAGGGTCCCAGGATTGACCAGTAACTGCTAAGAAGACACATTTTGATCCCTGTACATCTGGACATGTGTGTGGATGTGAGTGTGTGATAAATATACCTTGGCTTTACCCAAAGCTGGCAATTCAGAGTCTTTTTCTGGTTTGAAGCCCAAACCGGCAGTGACTTACACAGGAATGACCTGTCCCGGCTTGCCAGAGCACCGTGATGCGCTGTCAGGAGCGGTGGCCACAGGCCGTAGCTCTGATACCTGAAGCTCAGGCGGATCCACCGGCATAGACAGTGTTGTCTCAGCGCTGCGTGCTCGCCCGACGTCTCCTCGCTGGAGCTACTGGGGAAGTCACTTCTCTTCCTGGCTCCGCGTTGCACTGCCCGAAACAGGGGTCTGACTGGTTTCTGTGCGTGGTTTTGCATTGGTGAGATGACTGGCCAGAATGGGTTTCCACAAACCTCCTTTTTCCAGACTTAAAAAAAAAAAAAAGGTTTTCCATCATCGCACATCTTTTGCCCCCACTTGGGCCAGTGGATCCTTAATAAAAGCAAGTAAAAAACTGTACTGTTGTCTCAGTGGCTGTTGAATGGCTTCTGGATCTTCGAAATCAGTGAGCTACTGCCAGGTCCCTGCCGTTCTAAGCATCATTCCTGCGTTTGAGCTCAGTGTGGGAGCCACTGTGTCCACCTCATGGAGTCTCCCTCTGTTTCACTGACCCACTCCTCTCCAACCATCACGGCCCTCTCTGTGTATTATCTCAGGAAAACAAGAGTCT